GCCTGATTGCCTTCCATTGCAACAGAGGGTAAGAAACTACACTTATTTCGATATTATCAAAGGCGTAATTTAATCGAACACCAATCCACCGACGTATTATGTAGACTGCAATGAAGCCATGATTCTATCTATGGCACACCGTTTTCAATACTGGACTTAAAACCAAACCGAGGTTGATAAAATCGCATCAGCTATATAAAAACCAACAAACGTTTGGTGAGTTTGGCAATTTTGAGTTATGCTTTCTCTTTCTTTTAATATCTGATAACAAAAATAGCTCACTTGGAAGGCTGGAGAAGTTATACTAGTCTGTATAATAGGCGCTCACCTGTGCAATAGGATGGGTAAAACACCACCAATTTTGGAGAATATTCAAGGTAAAACCTATCTAAGCATTATCTGAACGACACAGAATGCAACCGTCTTAACACGACAGTCCTATCAACGACATTTCGTTTCCAATAATGGGCACAAGGGCTATCCTAGGATTGACCTTAAGCACCAAATCTTGAAAATCATTAGCACACTGTGGCTCACATTGCTGACTTGACCAATGGTAAACTTGTAAAAAGATGCCTCATTGTGGCAAATGTGACAATTATGAGTTTTACGCAGGTTTTCTCCCAAAATCCCGAAAATGAAGGATCCCAATTTAAAGAAGACACAACTTTTTCTGCTGATCATAACTAGTTTTAGCCAACCGAAGTTAAAAAACAAAATAATTGATTCAAATCAAATATCTTTGAGTAGAGTAATGGAAATGAATTGTCTGCTTCAAAATCAAACAAAGGGAAAGTGATTTTCCTTACGACACCATCACATACAGAAAAATAATGTAGTGATTACTAACTAGCATGAAGACCGCATTCCCTTAAATTCCTTGTTTCTGTTCACAAAAGAGAGATTTAAACGGTCAAATCAAAAGTGCAATTTATGTTGCCCTTTTTCAAAAAGAAAATATCATTTGGTAACCTTTGCTGAACATCTGCCTTCCTTTATATGATGATGGTGAGACGGCTACCTCTGCGCAGCACAAAGCGGCATTCCACTAGGTGGAATTGGGTGAATATGCCACTCCGGGAGCTGCTACCTAACCGATAATCCCCTTTATCCTCACAGTATTTACCAAGCCTTAACCCGTCGTCTTCATCAAACTACCTTCTTTGATCGTTTCTTAAGGAGAATGCGGTCA